CCATCTAGGCGGTTCCGTCTCCCTGCGGCGAGGGGGCGCGGTCCGGAAGTCCATCCTTAGGAGAGAATGGTCTGACCATGACAAGGGCTCGACAACTATTTCCCCTAATGTCAGATCATTCTGCCACTGGCCCGAGACAAAAATTAGATCCAGCGTGTGTCCACCCGTGTGGGTGGGGGCCTGAATTAATTGGGTCAAGCCCATCCGGCGGCACTCTTCCTCCTGTCTGAGGTTTTCATTGTTGTGAGTATTTCTGTTGAGGATTGGCAGTGGGGGTGGGGTGGGGGGTGTTTGGTTTTTATTCCCCCCGTCTGCTGGGTGGTTGCAGCAGGCTTTGGTCACTTCACATGACCCTGGGACACTGTGACCATCATAAATATGAATCAGTGCCAAGCATGTGAATGTAAATCACAAGACCCTGGAGATGCTGCAACATTCCAGCTGATCGGCACTTCTTCTAGGCTCAGCAGAAGCGCTAGGATCAGCGCCGAGGTCCAGCTGGAGCCTGGCGCTTATCCTGATGCTTCCACTGAGCCCTGATAGCCCCGAAGAAGCGCTGATCCTGGTGCTTCAGCTGAGCCCTGACAGCCCTGCAGCTGCAGCTATCTCTCGCTCAGGCTTGTGCGGTGCTGCCACCAGTTCAGCTCATTTCCCTCCCCCGCTACCACTTTTCTAGGATGGTCGCGTACCACCTGCCAGGTGCCAATGTACCATAGGTGGTACCCGTACCATTGGTTGAAAAGCCTTGAAGTAGCTACAAGCTACTTCTTGCAACTTAGAAAAATGTGGGATAGACAGCATCACCACCAGATGGATTTGCAGCTGGCTGACAAACAGCACTCAATGTGTAGTCCTTGACTACATATACATACATACACATACACACACATATATACACCTGCATGGAGGGAAGTAAACAGTGGGGAACCAAAGTTCTGTTTTAGGCCCAGTACTTTTCAATACCTTCATAAACAATTTAGATGAGATAATAGAAAGGGAAATCATCAAATTTGCAGATATCTGGCTGGCAGGAATAACCAACACCCCAGAAGATAGGGTCAAGATCTAGATGGATTTTGATAGACTTGAACACTGGTTCTCTGTGTTGATGCCACTTCTGGAAGTCTGTTCTGGGCCTGGGCAACCAAAAATTAGCTACCGGTTCTGCCGAAGTGGTGCGAACCAGCTGAATCCCACCACTGGTCCTAGCTAACAAAATGAAATTCAGTATAGAGAAAAATAAGGTTTTACACTTAGGCAACAAAACCAAATGTACAGGTACAGATTAGGTGAAATGTGGCTCAATAGCAGTAACTGCTATTGGAGTCCTAGTGCAGGGGTCCCCAACCTCGAGCTATAGTCCACTGCTGGGC